TCATCATCATCATCATCATCATCATCATCATCATCATCATCATCATCATCGTTATCGTCATTGTCATCGCAGTAGAATTTCCTTCCACCATGCGACCGAAACCTTGAGGCCTTCACACTGACCGGGCGAAGAGGGAGGAACTGATCCATATAGAATCATATAGATGTCCATCAACGACTCTGTGAACTGGCGTGTTTTTTGAAACATCCGAGTTTTTCCACCCAAAAGGGTAACCCACAGACATCCAAAACATCCCTTAGCCTGATTGTATGTGTATTTTTGAATCAAGTCGATCCGGTGGTCGACCCGCTATGAGGGCACGCCACCGGCGCGTGGCATCAAAGTATATGATTCTTGAAACATAAGAGGTACTGGTATCACAAATGCCTTCATGGGATCAGCCATGGATAGTGCTTGAGGTGAACGTCACATGGAAGTTCCCCACTTCAGTCCTTTCCACGCTTGGACCTCCCAGTGGCGGAGGTACTTCCAGCAAATCAGGGACGATGCCCACTCCAAGGTCGGCAATGCTTCAGACCTGCCACGTTGGTATCAGGAGCCTTCAGTGAGTAGCAAAAAAGAAAGAGCAGAGAGTAGTCCGGGCCGCGCGAACTCGGTGGGGGACGGCCGCGCGAACTTGGGTGAGGGACCGCGATAAATTGTCCCTGATGGTTTTGTGCGGCGGAGGGATTGAGAGGATTCAATCAACATTTACCCCAAAAGGATCCAAAAGAGGGGTTTTTGATGAAGCCCCGATCGGATCCACGCCCCTAGTGGTCCACTACACTAGCTCTGCATGCACCAGCTCCTCTCAAATCGGACCAGCCTTGACCCGAATTTGCATGTCCCGCACAACGGGGGCTCGAATTGCCAAGAGGTCATCACACAAAAACTGCTATTTTGTCACACAACAAGTGATGCTATTCTCAAAAAAGACCGTCCAGCTCCTAAGAGTTTCATCCGTGTGAGAAGATGAATGACGATACCGATACCCTATAGAAGTCCAAAAGACCATCTTTGCCTGACTGAAGTCAAGGCAATTCATCTTCCCCAAGATGTCTCAGAGCAGCAGCTCCAGGACATCTCCAGCAGCTTCACCTTGGCACTGTCCATCGATCAGTTGAAATTGCCCGGAGCGCCAGACCCGGTCCGTTCGGCGCCATCTTCGGGAGAAAAATCAAAAACAGGCCGTGGCCGATCCTATGCCAAGCGGACCATCTATGCCAAGCGCAGGAAAGCTGAAACGGAACAGTTCCGATGTGTGAGTATTTGAGTTGAGCTAAAACATATGCGCACACCATCATGAGCACACCATCGGAAGTGTGTGGGGGGTCCTGCATTTGGATGACCAACACTGCGTGATCTCAGCTGTGATGACAGAGTCGGGCCCCCCGAGCGACGGATAGTCAGTTCTAGCTATAGAATCACCCAGGACTGGGTGGTTGGAAGATGTTGGAAGTAGGGTTCATTCTGAAAAAAGGGCATCTTTCAGAACCAGTTGTAGACTAGACATGTAGATCGTAGGTCAGCATAGACCATCATGGATCCCACTGGTCACTCATCCTTTGACATTTGTTCATGTGAGCTGACTTGTCCTTAACTCGCATTTTCTGATCTGGTCGGAGACTGTCAAGACAATGGCCTGATACTCTCAAGAAAAAAGTCTAAAGAAGAACAGTCTGAAAAGAAAGAAACAAAGAACGCAAAAAACAAAGACTCTCAAGACTCTCAAGGTTTACAGTCAGCAGGCTGAGTCAAGGAGACTTCAGGCTTCCCTACTTCCTCTCTGGAGGACAAGCATATCCATCCCCAGTGAAGTGTAGAGACAGTACCCCCAGTTCAAACCTCAAGTACACCGAACAGTCATGCACAGAATGTCCAACTGATTCAATGGACGACTTTTCTGCATTGGAACACCTCGCAGCCGACTGAGGTGCAAGCCCATTGCACCCTTGGCAGCCGGGTTCCGAGGAGAAGGGTTCCGGGACTTCTGAGAAGGGTCGGAACGAAAAGCAGGCGCCTGGCGGGCCAAGGAAACAGAACCACTTTCCCTGACCTGCTACCAAACGGTTCCCCCATTGTGTGATCCCGCTCCTTTACCGGTCTCGTCGGTTTTGTCATTTATGTTCAATTTCTACAGCACGAGCTCGCCATTCCTACTCACAGCGTTGGGAGGGCACAGACAGCTGCAGCGACGAGCCGCCAAGGCCACCCTGCAATGCGTGAACCACGCTGGCAGTGAGATCAGCAGGTCAGGGTGGCCCAAGACCGTTGTCTTTTGATTTCTTTTTGAGATTTCTGGTGCTTCAAACAATTGGGTATACTTTCAGATTCAAAGGTTCAAACGACTTTTAGGTTGCTTAGCTGCATGTTGCTAGCCTAGCTAGCTGGCTCATTCGACTGAAAGAGCTGGCGGCGTTTGCTGAGTCCCGATTTCGATTCCTACCTCACGCTGTTCTATCCAGAGGAGGGCGGGATGGAGGTCTGGAGGGGATTCAGCGATTTCTGGAGGAAGGAAGTGACTTTATGTGACTTTTTCTGAAGATTGGGGTGTTTCCAAGCTGTGGGTTTCTGGAATCAGGTGTTTCTTTTGGTATCGTCCAGAAGACATCAGCTGTTTGTTTTACTGATGTACGATCAAATAAAATTGCCCAAATAGATACAACAACACTCTATGTGATCTGTTTCGGGCTTTTGTTCATCCTGGATTCTTGTGTTTGTTTCTTATAGACAGAGTTGACCCAAAAATCCTTGACATTCATGTTTGATGTCAGTCAGCATGGTAGTTTTCTGAGGGCGTCATTGTGTGGAGACCCTCGGAGACCCTGTCAAAACTGCACCCTTACGGCTTCGTAGGGTCTTTCACAGTAACTGATCACTTGAGATACAGAGTTTCAAGCAACAGACGTGACTGTGTCATGCATTGACGTGAGCATGTATGAGCATGCCGTTATATGCCGTTCCAGCTCACTTGTACTTTTATTCTGAAGACATTTGCTGCCTGGCTCCGAGCGTTCAATGTGCGATCATGAAGATCTTAGCAGTTTCCTCTTGATCCTTGAATGATTGGCGATGATGGGCGACATTCAGCTTCAGCAACCACTTAATGTTAGATCTGCACAGGACTGGCACCTATGGTGAGTTGGACCTCAATGGTGCATCACCCCTTGAGTTCTCCTGGTCCCTTGTCCGCCACGCCCAAAACGGCAGCAAAGCTGCTTGCTTTGCCCCTTGCCATGAACAATTCAGATCTGACCTCAAGCAGCCAAATGAGGGGATTCAACCTTCAACCACTTTGCAAGAAGTCGAAAAACCTTCCAATATCACACACCTCGAACCACTCAAACTCCATCGCTCCAAATGCCAAAACGACATCATCGAACCGGAAAGTCGCTGATTTCCCGGACAGTCGCTCCTTGCTCCGTTCGTAGGGATGCTAGGAGCCCCATAATAGCTTCTTGTTCCTAGTCGTAAGGCCAGTTTCGCCCCGATCGTAGCGTCCGCGCATGGCTCTGCGCCTCGCCATTGGGATCGGCCACATTGCCCGCGCGGTGGATCCCGCTCTGCCGCTCGGATCCATCGCGGTGCGGATCGCTGTTTGCACCCGTTCACCGTCAGTCGCCGTTCGGCCTGTCGGGTCGGGCTGGAAGCGCAAAGTAGGCTACTGGCTAGACCAAAGCCTGAACGGATTAGAAATCCGGGACGGGCATTTTTTCAAGGATCGACCGATGTGTACGTAGTAGTATTCACAAAGAGGAACTTCGTGTTGAAGCCTCCCCTTTTTCAACAAAGCAACTGACATATTGATTCTCTTATGTTCATTCTCCTGTCAGTGCGGGTGCTTGCATGTACGAAGTCACGGGCATTCGAGGCAAGCTTCCGGATGTTTCGAAAGGAAAGACACTTCCCGTCCGAGAGAAAAGGGAACAGACCCCCAAGACACGTTTTTGGCTTAAATTTATATTGCATAATATACAAATACTGCGGAGGTCTCGTATTCGTTTCTTAACTGTTTGACTTTGTGGTTTGTGACCCTTCTGACTGCGTCTCAGGCTCTGAGGGCTTAGAGCCTGAGACAGCGATAGGGGTCGAAGATCTTTCACAGAAATACACGGCGACATTTAACATCCATTACACTAATCCTGGCAATGGCCCCCCCTGGAAGATTGTTTTCTTCTACCAATACCAATGGTTTTCAGGGTGCTTTCTATGGTCCCCTGACTAGTCAGGATGAGTGGATTTATAGTTTTGAGAGTCACCTGCCGTACATTCCAAAGCAAGAACAAATCTGTTCTTCCTACAGCTGAGATGCTAGGGATTCACCACATGCTCACAAAACAGGTGGTGATTGTAAACAGCTGTTGATCTATATTTTGACCATTTGACATTGTTACCCTTTGCCCCACAGAAAGGTGAAAGGTGACGCTGCCGTTTCCGCTCGGTCCAGCACGAGATGCGAGGTATGTGGAGCCCGAGGACGGAGCTCGCGTTCCACGAAACCTGGTCACTGGTCGTGCCTTTTTTCACGTTCGTAGGCACAAGAAGAAGCTCAACCGAACGGGGGGCGAACGCATCGCGCCGAAAGAACGGAGCGAAACTGGCATCGCGACGAACGAACGGGGCGAGCGAAACTGGCCTTACTACTATAGGAACAAGAAGCTACTATAGTAACAAAGGCATCGCTAGGAGCAAGCACTTAGTGCGGTAACTGTTGAATCTTTTTCGATGATTTACGGAAACATCTGACTGGTCAAGGCAGCTTTCCAGGCACAAGTCCGGCCGAAAATGAGGAGGGTGGGCAGGTACTCACACATAGATGACGTAGATGAGCCCACATTGGAATGTGAGAACTTTATTGGGTGTATCCCATTACCTGTAACAGTCGGCACACAAGAACTTGAGCATCACTCTTTTAGAGATGTCGACCTGCAACTGAACCGCTATCATCCACTGGGCCCTGGGTTCGATGCCCAACCTACTCTTCAGCTGCAAATCGAAAGCATTGTGGTCCACCTGGCCGACGGAGACCATGTGAACCCGTGTGTAACACACACACACACACACCGCAGGAGACGATCTACTGGAGACCAAGGCTTCTTGTTCTGGTTGTTCTCGATCGATTCGTCGATTCGTTCGGACTGATGGCGTGAGACCTGATCCGTTCGTAGCTTCTTGCTGCTAGTAGTGGCCTCCAACCTGAGCGATGGCCTCTTTCGCTCAGAGCTGTGCGTATCGCGAATCCGTGGGCCCTCCATGACAGGGGTCGGACCCTCCATGACAGGGGTTAGGGGGGGGGAAAAGCGGGGTTTTCAGTCCGATCCAGGGATCATGGGCACCTCGACTTCCTCCGTTCGTTCGGCACCACGACATGGAACTGTTGGTTTGGTTCTTTTTGCGGTTTTGCAACCCGCACGGTTGAGCGTGCACTCCCACATGAGACGATTCCCAGCAAACGATCTCTCTCTTGGGTCTAGCATGGTCTAGCTAGGGAGTGGGTGGTGAAAGGGACCATCGTAGGTGAAGCCACCCTTGTGTAGGAGGATAAGACCATGCAGGGGTTTCAATCACATGGAGGATGAGTCCAGAGTTCAATCAACGTATCCAGACTTTCAGACAGGCTTTGGACGCTTCGAAGCGCCGGCTTTTCTTGGTCATCCTCAAAGTGAGTAGGAAAAACATAACGACATGAGACGATCGATGCATCAGTCCATGCATCAAGGTGCATCAAAACGCTCTCTCATGGGCCAGTTTCTGGTCTCGTTTGGAGCCGAGGCCTGAGACGGGCGGGCCACCGTTCGATGCGCCTCGCTTCCGAGATCTCTCGCGTGCCTGGCCGAAAACGAGGTCGAGTCCGGTGACGACCGCGGTCGATCGTAGCGGCATGTGAACGTGATGACGTCGTGTCAACTTCCACTTGAAGCGAAAAGATGCAGAAAACATCAGAAAACAACAGACCCAAGCGAGAAAGGTATTTTAAAGAAGTAATCTTCGCACGTCCGTTTTGCCTAGGAGGATGCTGAATCTGTAAAGCGATAAGGAAGAACAAAACGATGACCCCGGCTAACCCTTGTTTGGATGGAAAGGATGAGGGATGTTTGCCAAAGGTTCAATGTGTTGAGTATGGACCAAACATGACCAGCCACTCTTTGTGTTGGATCTCAATGGACACTAAGATGACGTTTGGTGAGGTGCTGTTGCACGGGCTTTTGTCATGGAATGATTTGGAAAGACTTGTTCAACTTGTCGACTCATGCCTATCAGGTTCCATGCACCTGCAGTGTATGCAGTGCACATGTTGCAGCAGTTTGTCAAACCACTGTAAAGCGATAAGGAAGAACACACGACAACATCAAACGTGGTATAGGCAAAAGAGGTTTTTTTGCACAACCTCAAGGTGTTGCTTGGCAATGGGAGGAGTCAAGGGGGAAGATTGGAAAAGAGGACAGAAATGGGGAAAAAGAGCACCCCAGTTTCTCTACAAGACCCAAAACCATCCCAAACCTATTCTTGCAAAAAGAGGAGGCCTACACTCCATGGGGAGTTTCGTGGAGTACTGTAGGTGATAACGCCCTGGTCGTTGTTTGGTCCGACGAAAACGTTGGAAATTCCTCGGCTTCGCCATGGAACCTTGGCGCGGGTCGCGGAACGTTCGGTCACGACCCTCCTGTGAGGTCTTTCCGACTAGAAGAGCTGTCTTTCTTCCTTGGTTTCTCTAATGAATTGAGGTGCAGAGTTCACCGAGTTGATTGAGGATGGCAAGGCGCGACAAAAGAAGAGACACGCGAAGAACATCACAAAACAACTCATTCTGTGAGATGAAACGACTTGAATCCCAGGTGGAAGAGGGAAATCTCTTTTACATCATGGTCTTACATTGTTTTATATACATGCTTCCACCTTAGCCAAGCTTATATTTGCTAGAGTTTGAGGTTTCCCAATGAATGACACACTTGTTTGTGCTGGGTTCTGATGCCCTCCATGACTTCGCATCGCTCTCTCCGTTTGCTGCTTGGTTTGCGTCCGTTTGCTTCTGCCGTCACGATCAGCTGTGTGGAGCATCTGACTGAAGCGCTGCAGGTCTTTGTGGTTCCTGAGATCTCCAAGACATGGATTCTCAAGGATTGGGACTGTGCCATGGCATGCCATGGCCGACATCGGGCACGCACTGGGCACTGATGGACATCTGGGGGCTATGCAGACGAGTGGGGCCGGTGGCGAACAACTACTCGTTTTCTTCTTTGGTGAGCTGAAAGGCTGTGAGGTTTTTGGACATGTTGCAAAACTATGGGAAGCATGGTTGGCCACAGATCAGCTTCGAACGAAGATGGGCGGTGATTGGTGACTGACCTACTGCATCCAAGTGATATCAGGGTGAACAAGCCAAAGGATTCAAGATACCTTCTATTCCAGAAACACGAGCCTCAACCCCCTGAACATTTGGTTGATCCCCAGCCCTAGCATACTCATACCTTCACGCCAACTCAGGGAGACCTGTTTTGTCCATCATGCAAGCAATAAAGCACGTTTGCATTTGCTTAGGTTTCGCAAGTCTAATGCACACAGGACAGGGCAGCCACTGGGTATAGCCAGTGGCATTGATGAATTTGCTACTGGTTCTACTCCTTGATCACGACCGCTTGGAGCAAGGAGTCGACGAACACGTCGCCTAAGGCGATTTCTTTCAGAAGGACGAAGAGTTCAAACATGCAGCCGGAGACCCGGAGAAGATTCGATTGACCAATTCAGAAACCGCTCGACTCAAGCTTCGATCCGACCGGTGACGGGACGATTCCGAAGCTGTCCATCGGCCATCGTTCCTTCGTCGTCCACGCCGCGGTCGGAGAAACGAGCAGCTCGCGGTCAGCTCGCGGCGCTGAGGCGATGAATCATCAATACACCTCCTCGGGGAAAGAGCAAAAGCTGGGAGATGATTGGCAGAAGGACCAGACGGCCAGTGGTGTCTTGGAACAGCCATCCGTCAGTGGGAATCCGATTGGCTGGGTGGGTCAAGCCAACAACATGAGGCTTGGAACAATATAGTAAGAAAGGGAGTAACAAGTGCATCGCTACGAACGGAGCAAGAAGCTACGAACGTAGCCTCCTGACCTTACGACTAGGCCCTGAGCATCGGCCATTGATTCTAATCAATAATCTTGGAAGTTTTTGAATTGATATTGATATTGATTTGAAATATTGTTTTTTTTCAATAACCACAAAGAAGTAAAAAACTGATTGATTTTTGCAATTGATTTTGCAATTGATTTCCTAATTGATTTTTTTGGCTCAAGTGGGGTAGAGCTATGTGCAGACATCCTTTTGACAACAAGGGGATGTCTCAAAAGGAAGAGAAAGAAGGAAAGGAAAAGGAAGAGGAAAAGGACAAGGACAAAAGGACAAGAAACAAGGAAAAGAGAAAGGAAGAGGAAAAGGAAAAAGAAAAGGAAACGGACACGGAAAAGGAAAAGGAAGATGAAAAGGAAGGTGAGAAGGAAAAAGGACACAGGAAAAGGAAGAGGAAACGGACAAAAGAAAAGGAAAAGGACACAGAAAAGGAAGAGGAAAAGGAAGAGGAAGTTGAAAAGGGAAAGCAAAAGGAAGAGGAAAAGGAAGAGGACAAAAAGGAAGAGGAACAGGAAAAGGACAAGGAAAAGGAAGAGAAAGAGGCAAAGGAAAAGGAAGAGGAACAGGAAAGGGAACAAAGAAAAAGAAAAACGGGAAAGGAAAAGGAAGAGGAAAAGGAACAGATAAGAGTAACAGGAAGAGGAAGAGACAAGTCAAAAAAGGGAAAAAAAAGGAAAAGGAAGAGGAAACAGAACAGGAAAAGGAAGAGGAAAAGGAAGGGAAAAAGGAAAAGGAAAAGGAGGAGGAAAAGGACAAGGATGTTTTTTTTGTGAAGGACAGTAAGGACACAAAATCTAATGACTAAAAATGTGGACACAGTTCTTGGTGAGGAGAGTTGAGGAAGCAAAATCTAATGACTAAAACTGTGGACAAAGCTTTTTGGTGAGGAGAGTTCAAGACGCAAAATCTATATAATTACTAAAACTGTGGAAAACCACATTGGGTGAGAGAAAGGAATCAAAATCTAATGACTAAAACTGTGGACAATTTTTGTTGGGGTGATGGAAATTAAGGAAGCAAATTCTAATGACTAAAGCTATGGACAAATTTTCTTGGTGAGGAGAGTTGAGGAACAAAATCTAATGACTAAAACTGTGGCCAAAACTTTTTGGGGTGAAGGAAAGTAAGGAAAAAACATCTAATGACTAAAACTGTGGACAAAACTTTTTGGTGAAGAGAGTTGAGGAAACAACATCTAATTACAAAAACAGTGGGCACAATTTTTGGGTGAGAGAAAGGAAACAAAAACTAACGACTAAAACTGTTGCCAAAACTTTAATTCAGGAAATTAAGGTTTTACACAAAAAATAATCCCGGCAAGAGACCCCAAACAGTGTGTGTGAGGTCTGTAAGCAGAAAGTCAAGAGATCTAGACGCATTGGGGTCCAGAGAGGTGATGGTGGTGATGAAGGTGGGGATCGTGGTGACGGTGGCGGTGGTGGTGAGTGAGTGAGTGTGAGTGTGAGCGTGAGAGTGAAGGTGGGTGTGAGTGAGTGTGGGTGAGAGGGAGTGTGAGTGAGAGTGGGAGAGTGAGTGTGAGTGGCAGTGTGAGTGAGAGTGAGTGTGGGTGAGGGTGAGAGTGAGGTGAGAGTGAGTGTGAGTGTGAATGTAAGTGAGCGTGAGTGAGAGTGAAGGTGGGTGTGAGTGAGTGTGAGTGAGAGTGGGAGAGTGAGTGTGAGTGCGAGTGTGAGTGAGAGTGAGTGTGGGTGAGAGTGAGAGTGGGAGAGTGAGTGAGTGTGAGAGTGAGAGTGAGAGAGTGAGAGTGAGTGTGAGCGTGAGTGAGAGTGAAGAGAGTGAGTGTGAGTGAGTGCGAGTGTGAGTGAGAGTGTGGGTGAGAGTGAGTGTGCGTGAGAGTGAGAGTGCGTGTGTGAGTGAAAGTGAGAGTGTGAGGAGTGTGAGTGTAAGTGAGAGTGGGAGACTGAGTGAATGCGAGTGTGAGTGAGAGTGAGTGTTAGTGAAAGTGAGAGTGAGTGTGAGTGAGAGTGAGAGTGAGAGTGAGAGAGTGAGAGTGAGAGTGAGAGTGAGTGAGAGTGAGTGAGTTTGAGTGTGAGTGAGATTGAAGGTGGGTGCGAGCGAGTGTGGGTGAGAGTGAGAGTGAGTGTGAGTGAGAGTGCGAGAGTGAGTGAGAGTGTGGGTGAGTGAGTGTGCGTGTGAGTGTGAGTGCGAGTGTGAGTGAGAGTGAGCATGAGTGCGGGTGAGGTTGGAGGGAAAGGTCATTACTAAATTATTCACTTCCTAACCATCCTCAACCACTTGCGAGTTCAAATCCAGGACCCTCTTAGACGGCGTCGATGGGAACGAGGTGAACATGGTTTTTTCGGGTCCACTTGGTGAACCTCGAAGTGCAGATTTCGTAACAGGCACAGCATTCTGTGACCCTCGATGTGCAGATTTCGCGGCAGGTGCAGCACTTGGTGGACCTCGAAGTGCAGATTTCGTGGCAGGTGCAGCACTTAGTGAACCTCGAGGTGCAGATTTCGTGGTAGGCACAGCACTTTTGGGAACCTCGAAGTGCAGGTTTCGTGGCAGGCACAGCGCTTGGTGAACCTCGAAGTGCAGATTTCGTGGCAGGCGCAGCACTTTTGGTGAACCTCGAAGTGCAGGTTTCGTGGCAGGTGCAGTGCTTTGTGCTCTCAGATGCCCACTCTCTCACTCTCACTCTCCCACTTTCACTCACACTCACACTCCCGAAGGACAGGGCGCAAGGGAATGGGTTGGCGGGTTGGCGGAAAGCAAATCAAAAGTAAGTAATTCGATTTGTGTCCATTGCATCGTTGCACCCGCGAAGAAAATCATGTTGCGTTGTACAATCAACGGCGGGCAAGCAAATTGAAGCAGAGGCCAACCTTTCATGGTGCCTGTGTCTTGGCAAGGTTGCCACAGATTATAGAACACCAGCCAGACAAGAGTGACAAGAGCATATGACGCGGCTATTGAAAGCCTTCGCTGCCAATTTCTCTAACTAATCAAACAAAACAATCAACCACACCTATGCGCCTGATCAGTGTAGAGACATATAGGAGGGCTGCTACCTACAAAGTTTACCACCATTCTCACTGTGAAGGGCACTTGGCTGTGTGATATGCGGTGACGGACGCACCATCCTCGAAAGTCAGCGTGCGCGCGATCCAGGTGCGATTGAAATTCACCGGGCCCAAACTATTGCAGCTCTTCACATAAGATGCTCTTCAGTTTTCCAACGCAGTGCACTCTGCAGGACTCAATGTCTTCTAGCGACCTTGAAATGGATTGCACCCTAGCAAACCGCAAACAATATACAAGGGTTATACTTAAATATCAACTACTATAATTAGCCCAATTCGTGAACAAATAAGATGAAATCCAAAAAAACCGAGACAAAAGGGAAAGTGAAACGATATCATGGCAAAAGGGAAAGGAAGTGGTTCAAACAAAAGCATAAAAGCAAGCTTGCTGAAGAACAGAAATTCTAACAAACTGGCGAAACTCAGTTTGGCAGAGAAGGTGCAAAAGGCATCAGGAGATGCAGCCAACCAAGCGCACGCTCACACACACAGACATGTTTTTCGACAACCCTTCTAATTTCAGGAAACCTTGTCCGAGCCCACCGACCTTTCTGACCTCCTCAAAATTGAGACGGAGACCAAGCCATTCAGCATCCTGAGAGGCCGGCGCCCGTTTCAGCCCCACAACATTTCTCATTTTGCCGCAAATGTGTCGGCGCACTTTGACTTTGACAGGCGCCAAAGACAGCCTCGCACGCGGTCTCCGGCGCTACAATGCGCAGCTGCGGGCTCATAACAAGAAGCCGGCGTTGCCACTCCGGGGCAACGCTGGTGGTGGAATGGTGGTCACGGACTTCTGGCCGGATAATTTGAAGGCAGGGCGGTGAACTTGGCAAAAATAGATCTTACACCGTTTAAACTTGCCGCTTTGGAGTCGGTCAAACTTTCGTCGTCAACTCTGCTGACAGGACCGGGAGTGCCACATCATTGTGGACGGCCAGGTCTGGTTAGGCGAATTCGTGGTGTGGAGTCCACCCATGTTGCACCCTTGGGATATGCAGCTGTGGGTTGCCACAGGCAGCCTCAACCTTCAAACCAAGTGCTGGAAAATGGGGCCCTGGCTATGCTTCTGCTGGCTGTTTTCTGAATTGATTTTTATCATGCAAAAATAGACATTTTTGAAATGATTTTGAAGGTCAACTTGAGTATGATTTTGGATGTTGCAGAATCAATTACGATTTAAAATCACTATCAATATGCTTTGGAACTAATTGATTAGCGTCAATAGCCGATGCTCAGGGGTAAACAGAAGTTACTAGTAGTAACAAAGGGCATGGCATCGCTACGAACGTAACAAGTGCATCGAAGGTCCGTCCGAAAAAGACCCACCGGCCTTTTCCGTCCGATCCTTCGGTGGCCTAGGCGCGAAGAACGCGACGGCGCCGCAGGTGGCGCCGCGGCTCGGTCGAAGAAGTCGAGCCGTCGAGCTGGGCGCTGGGCCGGTTCTTTTTTGTGGCATGTTTGAGTGAGGAAGTGTGGGAGGGAGATGAGAAAACTCAATGCAGAGATTCCAATGACACTTCGAAGAGACAAAGGGTAAGATGGAGATCCAACTTCCGTTTTTCAAAAACATGACCATGTCTTGGTGAAGAGCCTGGGATTGTATGCAGGATGCGGACGTGAGGCGCTTGAACGATGCACCTCTCGCCACAAACCAGACCGTCTCGTCGCAAGACCAATTGGAGAAGTACCTGACAGAAGCGCTAATTAGTGTTCTTATTGGTTAGGAGAAATCTTCAGACTTCGGTATCAACTCTGGGTGAAGGAATGGATGAGAAGCAGACTGGAAGGTGCCCCTGACTAGGTCGATAATGTTGTCGTTGTGGCTACGGTTCCACCACACACACCCTACAAGCGACCTTTTTCCGCCAGGGGGGTACAAATACCTGCTGAATTCTATAGCATTATGTACTGCATATAGTGGTTGACCTACACCCATTTTGTGGCCGATGTTTGTCCAA